TGACTTGTTATAGATAATAAAAAAAAACTAAGCACTGTCTTTAATTCAAAAAGTGTCACATAAAGTCGGGGAAGAAAAAACCAAAACTCTCTTGGAAGTTTTCTGCGAAAAACAAATAATTTTCCTATGAATTTATCAAACCAATGAACTATGTATACATTCTACTACCGTTCGAGGGCATCCGAGACACACACATAGAACTTCTGGGTAATATATGCCTCAAAGTTATAGGTTGCCCTTTGACCCACCGATTGAAATAAGTAGTGGCATCGCGGGCCAGTCGTCGTCGGCAATAGCTGTGGAAAAGTGCACAGTTGTCGTCGGTTGATTCAATGTGGGGGGAAAATGTGGAAAATGGCTGAAAAGTGGGTGTTAGTTGCAGTCTTGCTGGTCAGGGTCTCTTTTCAGGGGTATGCACTGTGCGAAAAATAATGGAGGGGTCGAAGAATATTTTCCAAATCTTTCAAAACTTTTATTATAAGGTTCTATTAATATTTATATTCAAAAATATTTTCAAAATCTTTACTAAGTTTTAATATGAGGTTCTATTATAATTTATATTATATGTTCTCATTGAAGCTCTACGTTTTTATCCTAAAATTGCTATAAAATATATTTAAATACCAGAATAGTCGCTTTTTCTCTTTTTTTATAACTTTTTTTAAGTATTGTTTTGGGAAAAAATTTGAATCTAGAACCCCAAATAGACCTTTTTATTAGTGAATTTCTACTATAATATCTAAATATCCTACAAAATAATGTTAAGTACCAGGATGGAAACCCTTCTATCTATTTTTACAAGCTTGCTTACTTTTTTTAAACTATTCCTTTGTAAAAACATAAGTCTGTGTTAATAAACTCTACTTTCAATTTAAAATATTAAAATAGTTTAAAATAATTTAATATATCGCCAATTATTCGATCAAAAAACTTTTAATAAATTTGTATTCAAGGTTAATATTATTATTATTTTTTGTTAGTTAAGGCACAACTTCCTTGGCAGTTGGGCCATCTACCTAAATATTTTAATTCCAAATTTAAAAAGTAAATCTAAGAAAACGTTTTAAGAATTCTATTCTACCCCTAAGGTACTTTTTCTAAAGCCTATCATATTTTTAACATATAATTTGTACAACATTTTTTCTCTCTGTATGTTTATCTATGTTAAACACATATGTGTGTGTCTGTCTGGGTATTAGTGAGTGCTTGCATGTTGTGTGTGTGCGTGTGGGTTCAGTATGCGTGTGGCTCGTTTAATGGCCACAAAGCGGAAACTGGAGCGTGGCAGTTGCAGCTTCTTCTTCGCCATCGTCCTCGCCATCGCCCTCGCCATCGCCATCGCCCTCGCCCTCGCCTTTGCCAGCTTGGCTCTTGGTCGTCTTCTTCGGCTGATGCAGCTGCATTAGCAGCCATTTGCAGAAGCCATTGATGCCACTGCATATGTATGTATGTCTCCCAGCTCTCTCTCCCATCTCTCTCTCTATCTATCTCTTTCTGGCGTGCTTTACTGCCATTTATATTTATGTTTGTTACCGCTACCCCTCCCCCTTCACAACCCCTTGTGGGAAAAATGATGACATGAAAAATTGTGTTGCCCGCTTTTGGGCGCTGCTTTTCGATTTTTTTTATTCGGGGGTTTCCCCACTTTGAAAATTCGATGTATTTTTATTTTATTTTTAGTATATTTGTGAGTATTTTTTTTGTTGGGCAGCCCTAAGGCCAGTCAGCAGACATCCACCAGGAAGCTTCTCGAGCACAATTTATGGCTTTTTAAATCGAAAGAAATTCAATGCTTGTTTAAGAAGAATGAACCAAACGATACGAAACGAAACGAAATGGATGGAAAGAAATATATATATAGAGAGAGAGAGAGAGGGGAGGGAAAGGAAGCTCCTACCCAAAACAAATTTCAAGATTTATGTTTACTTTCTCCGCCTCTATTCCATCTATTATTTTATTTATTTTCCCACTCTCTGTTTGTTTATATTTTTGTATTATTCGCATGTGAGTCAAGGATGTTTGGGTTTCGGTAAGTGGCTTTCCATTTTCCATTTTCCGATATGCTAAAATTTTCAAATTAGTTGCAAAGTTCTAAATTCTTGAAACAATATTTGCTTTATGTTTTATGCTTATTTTTTTCTTTTTTTTTTTTTTTTTGTAAGGTAAACAGTTTATGCTGGGGAGGCTTGTAGGCTTTTTCAGGTAATGGTTCTCCAATACCTCAAATACCTATTAAGGTTTTTTTTTTTATAAAAACATTTGAAATCTTGAGCGTTGATTGAAAGTGCTTTTAAATAATTTGATTTTTAGGAAATAACGCTTCACGTGTTTGTGTCAAGGGCCCTGGCTGGCACTACTTGAAAAATTGCACGTAAATTGCTGTGAAAAGAGTGAGATATATAGACATATACATATATATATCAATATATATGGTATGTACGATTTCGATCGGTCTTTGCCAAGCAGTGAAAGTGAATACATTGAATATATATGTATGTATCTCAGAACAGATGGGAGCACCCCCCCCACCCAAAAAAAGGGAGAAAAACACGCCCGAAAATCGAGAACCATTAAATTCTGGCTGGCCTTGATGACGCGTCGCGACGCGATGCGCATAAAAAATGGAAAATCAAATCGAAAAAAAATAGCACACCAACACACACACACCCAGAACGCACAAAAGGCGTTAGCCAGGCCAAAAAAAAAAAAAGGAGAAAGGGGTCTTGGCTGAGATCGCAATCAATGCGTTTAGGGCCGATGGTGGCGGTGCTGCTGGCAGTGGTGGTGGTGCTTTGATTGTGGGCGTGGCTGCCTTGTGCCAGTTTCAACTATGCAGCCACACACATAGGCAGACAGAGGTCTCACAGATACAAATACATCTACAAAGGCTGCTACGGCGGCCTCATTTTGAGGACGCCACTAGAACAGAAACTGAAACTGAAACTAAAACTGAAACTGAAAAAAAAAAAAAACTGAAAACCAAAGCCGAACCGAATCCGAATCCGAGTTCAATGTGGAGATAGATGAGAGACCGACCATTGTCCTTCGTCCTCCAGCCTTCGTCCCTTTTCTGGTTGCATTGGCCAGCCAAGCCATTCCCCCATCCAATGCCAACTCATCCCCAATTGCCACTTTCCATTTCAAGTTAACTTAATTTTGTGGGAAAGTTCCCTTGGTTTTGAGAAAGGTTTGGGTTTTTAAATATTAAAGTTATTAGAAAATATATTTTGAAAATTAAGAATAAGATTTGTTGGCCTAAGGATTTTACTAAAATCATTTCTATAATTCTTCTAGGGTACAGGGTACTCTCCCTATTCGACTACTGATCTTGTACAATTTCTGTTCCTGAATTAATCCCAATTCCCAATCGTTTCTTTCAAGTGATTTTTATTTTATTTTTGTTTCATTTCGCATTTCTGTGTTGACTGTCTGTCTTTCTGTCTGCCTGCCTGCCGGGTTGCCTGGCTTTCTGTGGCAATTGCCGAAATCCAAATTAAGCTGCGGCAATAAAGCCTGGCCCAGACAATAACAGCTAGCTCCACCCCACCCCACGGCACTCAGTCTCCTGCCGACAAAAGAAAAAGTCCCTTCAGTCTCATACATTCAATATACATATAGTATTTTCCACTGCTCCGATTCTTGAATTAATGCATAAATGCAGAGTGAGAAAAAGGTGGTATTATATTAAGGGGAAATTAATTACATATAGTTTGAGAAACTACTTGAATTTCTATAAGAAAATTTTTAAGAAACTCTAGCTATGAATATTGGCATTTATTAAGTTATAGTTTCTTAAAAACTTGGTAACTTTTCATGAGATATGAGGCTCGCCTTGCTTGTCACATGTGGCGTATGATTAATATTTCTTATAACATTACTCATACGCATAGTTGGCTTTTATGATAGCCACTACTATGAAGAGTATAGTATAATATGAGTATGGCATGGAATACATAACATATATAGTATGATATACCATACTTAAAATGGCTTGCTTTTTTAAAGAAAATTAAGAAAAAATACCCTTGAAGTCTAGAAGTAACGGGTATACAGTAGTAAAAGTAGTATTTTCAAGAGAATTTAAGTATTTTGAAGACAAAGTATATTTTCTAGAAAATAGAAAATAGAAATTAAAATTTATAGAAAAAATATTTATGTACTCAAAATATATACTACTGTGTTCAAAATACTTAAATACTCAAAAATTAAAAAAAAAAAATACTTTGATCTACTAAGTTTGTGTTCCTTGAATACCAAAACGTAAATACCAAAAATATTTATTTAATACCAACAATAGGAGCATTCATTTATGAAGAGAAGGTTTTAAGGTTTTAATATTGATGAATTCTAAACCTATTTATGAAGTTTAATATTTATGAGCTATGTATCTCATATATAGCCAAAAAATAAGAAAAGACTCTTCTTAAGGAAAAGAAAATTCTTAAACAGCCTCGCCTAGCCTTGGGATGTAAATAAGATATTTTCATCTTAAAAAAAAGAAAGATTATCAAATAATAACCAAAACTCTCTAAATATTTCTTTAAAAAATTTCAAACCCTTACCTATCACCACCTATTTTTTTAAAAAGAAATATATATTTGACTCCTAATTTTTTTCTACATATTCAGATATATATTTTTTGCAAGTGCCGGGGCCAGTCGAGCCTTATCCTCCCGGTGCCGCCCCCATAACTAACTCAAAGCACTCGAGCGCTTCAATGGACACGCAGGCCCTCCGCCCCAAATAAGGGGATTAGGGGAACCAGCCGGGGGGTGGTGGCTAGGGCCTGGCGGAACTTGGAGAGGTTGTCGGGCGAATGTCATGCGATTGTTTTGTGTGTTGTGTTGTGTTGTGTGTTATGTTGCAAGAGTCCTTGCCGTCGACGGGCTTTGTTTGAATGGCACTCGAATCGAGCCGAGAAATAGGAGGGGGGGGGCAATAAGGGGACGGGGGGATGGTATAAAAGATTGGGTCGAGGCTAATAAATACAAGGCACTTACTTGATATAAATGAAAGCACAAGAATCATATCTATGGTCACTTGAAACCACTTCATCTCATTTCCCTCTGCACGCTTTTTTTCGCCTTTGCTGCGGTGGTGCTGGATTCTATTTACTTTTTTTTTATATTATTATTATTTTTAATTTATTTATTTGTGTTTTTACAATTAAATTTTAACTCCTCTTCGTTGGTTGGTTTTTGTTTGTTATTTAGTTTCCTGGCAGCTTCTGGTTTTTTATTTTGTTATTTTAAATAATTTCCTGATTTTTCCACGCAGGCGCAACTGTTACAGAAATTTCAAATTGAAATTTTAATTGAAATTTCTTAATAAATTTTTGGTTGTTGTTGTTGTTGTTGTTGTGCGTTATATGCATTTCAGTTGTTTTTTATTATTAGTTGTTGTTGATGATGGCTTCTGTTGTGGTTGTTGTTGTTGTTGTTGTTGTTGTTATCCTCAAATTTTTGGCAGCATTTATTTACATTATTTATTATTGGATAAGCCTTCATGCTTCTGGATCTTCTGGATTTCCCCTTCCTTTGACATTAATTTGTCAATTTTTTTTAATTGATTCTATATATCAACCACATATCAGACATATCTTTTTTTACATCTTTCGGTATATATATATATATAGAAATATATATGTATATATATTATATTTTTTTTTTGTTGGCAGTTTTCGATTAAAATTCTTGAAATTTTATGTTTTTATTTTTTTTTTTTGGTGGCCTTGGCTTCCTCTTTGGCAAGCTTTCCTTTGTTGTGCATTTGTTTTGATCCTGGTAGTCCTTGCTGTCCTTTTTTTTCGTATTCTCTTGCCTTACATTGTTTCAATTTTCCGTTTTCCCCGCCGTCTGTTTGTGGTAGCTTTTCAAAGACAAAGAAAGGAATCTGCAAGAATAAGAGAATAATGAAAAGGTTTTAATATTTTTAGGAATTGAAAGTATAACTAAATTTAATAAATATTCTATTTAATGTTACTTATTTAGGTTTATATACTAAAATTTTAATACTCATACATTTTTCATAATCATACATCTCATAATTTCTATAACTTATAAGATTTATTATTATTCTTTTCTTTTATATCTTTATCCTTATCCTTATTCTGTTTCCTTTTAAAAGAACAATAAACTTTTCATTTCTAAGAAACAAATCCCTAATATATGCCCCCCTCCCACACTCGCAGGATACAACAGGACACAACTTTCCTTATTCTTCTGTTTATGCAAATTGGTTTTAATTATAATTTTCTACTCTCGCCGTTGACCCAAAAATTGGATTGTTTTCAAATATACATATTTTATATTTATATTTTTTTTTTGGGCCACAAAACATTTTGTGAATTTTAATTGCTAATTTCGCGTAATTCATTTAGCCTCTGAGAAGAGATCTGAGAAGGTATGCCGCCGAAAGAACGAAAACTTTTCTGTAAAAAGATAGTCCTTTGGGTCTGTTAATTTAATTAATAACTCAACCCTCCCCCCCACCCCCTGTCAGTTTCTCAACTTGACGAGTCGGTGGTGTCCTTTTTTATTCCCTTTTCCTTGAATAGGATAATCTTGAAAGTTATTTTGTCCTTGTCCTTGTCCTTGTCCGAGTCCTTGTGAGCTGTGTGTGTGTGCTGAGTGTCCTGAGTGATTGCCGAAAGTTGAAATTTTAAGATGCTCTTGAATGGCTTTTAATTGGTCTTGTTTTGTCTTAATTATTTTCAAAAGTTGGGAATGGTATTTTTTAATTATATTTTGGGTTGGGCATTTGTATTTATTATAGTTGTTGGAATTAATAAACGAAAGGGATTTCAAATAATTAATAAAAGCTCTTGGTTTAATTTTATGTAATCTCTCAACCCAAAAAAAAAGCTCTTCTCCCTTGAAACTGTTAAAAATCAATAGGTCATCCTTGAAATAGGTACCTCCTCCTCCTCCTCCTGCCACCTTTCGGAACTCGGAAGACTTTCAAGGCCAAGGACACTCTTGTTACTTGATTATTTTTAGCTTTAGCTTAGTAGTTATATTATTAATATAAAATTCCTTAATTTCCGAGCCCTGCTAGAGCTGTTAAGCCGCAGAACCATTTACCAGAAAATTATGCGAATTAAAAAACTGCAAGTTTTTCCCCCAAAGTTGTCACATTATTGCGCAATTCAATTAGGGAGACTTTAAGTCGCCACTTGTGGGGGGGTTACTGGGTGGTTGGGTGGTTAGTGGGTGATGATGATGATGCTGTTGCCAACTTTTCCAAAACGGGGTAAGAGGGGCAAGGAGGGGCCTGGCATGAATGAGCAATTCAGCGAGGGCGTGAAAAGGTTTTCGGAAGTAATTTAAGAAAATGTCATAAGAGTGTGTGTGTTAGTAAGTGTGTGTGTGTGCGTGTGCATGACCTTACCACCCACCTGTCCTTGTTCTCTCCCTCTAGCAGGCTGTCAAATATTTAACCCACGTAATACCCCAGTGACATATCTGCAAAGTACCAGCAAAATGTCACTTTCAAATCCACTAAAGTTAAGTGTTCTTACAGCTGAGATGGTTTTTAATATTTTTTAATTTAAAAAAGATTTAGTTTAAGACTTAATGTGTGTTTTTTTAATATATTTAAATTTTTATAGACTTCTTGAAAGGGCCAGTTATTATTTAGGCTCTTAATATCCCTTAAATCTTATTTGAAAAAATATTTTAAAACACTTCCTTAAATCCAAAATTAAAATAACCTTTTTTAAATTAAAAAATTGTATCAAAAATCATTATTTTCTCTTAATTAATATTTAAAATTTAAAAATAACAATCCCTTTGGGTTAATCCTGCAGGCATCTGCAGTAGCAGAGACGCTGGCAGCGTGGCAGGTGGCAGGACATGGCAGGACGTGGCTGGATGGCTGGCTGGCTGGCTGGATGGCTGGCTGGCTCGAGGACGACACGTTTTTGATGCAACAAAAGATGCCAAGTGTCAATTTAAACAGCCGCACACTTGCCACCGAGCAGGACGGCCCAAAACCAAGGCGTAACTACCTAAGAGAGCGACAGAGAAAGGACTAGACGACCAAAAAAATATGTACCAGGGGCATCACTCCCTCTCCCTCTCTGTTTCTGTCTCTGTCTCTCTCTCTTTGTCGTCCTGTGCTCCTTGAAGCTTGAAAAAGCCAACGTTGACAGCGTTTAAGACTTTTCCCCATTGTCCTTGCCAGCGCCTTGATGGTTTGACAGGGCAAGGCAAGTCCTTTTTCCCCCTCACCCCTCACACCCCGCCTTTCATGCACACTGCATGTCCTGCATCCTTTCGTCCTGCTCGCGTAATCCACGGTCCCACTCGGTTCTCAGGTTCTGCCTGCCAGTCTCCGCCTGGTGTTGTCTTTTCATATTAAATGCATTGCAGAATGTAAAAATGTTTCCAAAAAAAAAAAACTGAGGTTTTTAATAAAAAAAAGGATAACAAAAAGGGGGCAGGATAACTCCAAATTTAAGCATAAGGGATAAGTGGTTGAGACTCTTGATTTAAGATTTAAGAATTTTTGAAAAATATTATCTAAGATTTTTCAGAAAAGAGGCTTGAAAGAATTGAAACTAGAGGCTTGAGACTAGCTATTATCCTTTCTATAATTTATTGTAGAATTTTAATATTTAATATTTTAAATATATTATTTAATTAACTTTTTTATAAACTTACTACATTCTCCCTAAGTTCAAAGTCATTTTCTTCAAATAATTACCAATATCTAAAGCTCTATAATATCCCTAAGCTCTTAGACTCTTATTTTCATTGCTTAATTTTAATTTTTAAATCCCCTTAGCCTTTTAAAATTATCTATTATTTAAATAATAATAATAATCCCTCCTTGACTTCCGTTTGTCTGTTGAACCAATTTGGTCTCTGTCATCCAGATAGTTGCCACTGCCACGGCCTTCGCAGCTCCTTGCTATCCAACCTCTGACCCTGCCCTGGTCTCCCTCCTCCCCACCCAAAAAAATTCCAGCTAACACCATCCACTCATGCCATCCACCCGCCTGCCAGCCTGCCCCCCTTGTACCACATTTGTCGCTCATTATGGGCGCTCATTAGGCGGCGCTCGCGGCATGTCAAGTCTGCACAAAAAAAAAAAACACAAAAAAAACTATATAATAATAAAAAAAAAAAAAGAAGAATATATGTATATGAGGGAGAAAGCTTTCTGAGGGCGAGTTAAGCCCCTGGATCCCTGACCCCTGACCCTTAACCCCTAATCATGCAGAGCAGCGTGCAAAGGCTAAAAGGGCGTAATAACTATATTATGCAGTCTGACTAAGTTATAGAGCCCACAGACGCCCCGATCTGGTCTGGAAACTGGAATCTGGCCAGAAGCACGAAGCCTTCAAGCCAAAAATCATAAATAAGTTAAGAGAACTCTGCTGTAAAGTGTTTTTTAAGAGCTAGTTTGGTTTAAAACTATTTTTTTTCCATAAAAAAAAATAAATAATATTCATGTCATACAAACCTCCCTTTTTAAACCTCTCTTTTAATAACAATTATTTTGGATTATTTTATGCCCCCCCCCCTCCCTAGAAAAGCATAATATTATTGCGACTTTTTGGCCATGATTTATACATTTTTGGCTAAAACAACAATTCATTCCCATCAGCGTTAACATCGTCATTATTATGATATTTTAGCTGAAACTGAGAAGACGTCGCTACTCATTCGCATGCACAAGCCATCTTTATCTCCCATCTCTCTCTCCCACTCTCTCTCTATCTATCCATCTCTTTTTAGTTGATACTCCGTCTCTGTCTGATGCTGGGTTGTGTTGCTGATTTTGCCATTATTACATGCATATTTCGTGTAATGAGTGCGATTAGCATTTTCAATGAAGTGGGGTTAACAATGTGCCTTGCATTTCTAGTTGGGGGAAAGCCACCCCCCCTCCTCCCCCTCCTCCCCCTCCACCCCTCTCTTATCTCTCAAGTGCTCTAGCCTTTAGCTATCTCTCTCTCTGTCTCTGTCTATCGCCATTTTCTAGCAACTGATGACGCTGATGCTCCAAATGTTGCTGCGTCATCAACATAATCATCGGGCATCAACATTTCAAATTGAGCAGCATTATTGGCCTTTACCCTACCCTACCCCTCCCCCGCAACCCGCAAGCATATATATAACGGTATATACCATATATCCATAACTGTATGTATG